GCAGGAAATGAGGGGAAGAACAAAAGACTGCTGTTTATCTGAGCAGTGTGATACCTGGGCAATTGCCAGAGCCCGCAGCCTCACGAAGAAAGGCACACTGCAACAATATGCCATATCCACTGGGCTGTGTGGTTTTGTTGGGTCACGATGTGAACTTGCAGCACGAATTTAACAAGTGAATGAACCTCATCAATGTAAAACCTATGATGTGTTTATTAGCCAAAACAAAGACACAAACCCTCCAAAACAATCGAGCACTGAAAAGAGAATCTGCAAGGCAGTGTTTGCCCGGGGCAGCACCACAGGCTCCTCGTGGGCGTGCAGGGCTTGCGGGGCTTTTCCTTGTAGGCACGCAGCTTCTGCGCATCACTGGTCCTGCTGGAGTCTCGGCTCTAGAGCTGGGCACGGTGGCGGCTTCACCAGACTGGCAGCAGTTGTCAGATGTCTGTGATAGGCACTGTATGTTCCTGATGGCAGGATAACGAACCTAAACTGTCAAGAAGGCCAGATCTTCTTAAATGCCCAAGGGTGACTCTAACAGTTTAAACAGGTTTTAGTTGTTTCTTTTCTACTAAGACAAGGCTTGATCTGCCTAAACCCAGTTTTAGAAATAAATTTGAACTACTGCTATTGAAAATACGGGCTGTTAAGGGCCTGGTCTGTATCTGTGGGAGACTGTTTGCCATTGTTCCCACCTTCAACTCCATCATTTTCTGAGGCCTCTGTGTTGTTGCCTTATTTTTGACTCACAGTATTTATGCAGTTATTTTCTTAACTGAATGTGACAACTTCAAAACAAACTTACTTTGTGTTACAGTGACAGGACATATTTTTTCCCATAGCAATCCTGTTTCTTTTTATGAAATAATAGATTAGCATCATGACAAAATACTTTTAGCTCAAACATTCCATTTTTTAAGAGCAACGACTGGGGGGAAAACTGATTAGACATAATGATTTAAGCATTGATGCTCCTGGTAGTTGCAGGGATATATACAGATATATAGTACTGTAAATCTGCAAAGATCTTTCTATTTTCCTTTTTTTTTTTTATTTTAAGCATTATCATAACTTATTGTTTCTTAGCTATTTTTAATACAAAGCTGCAATATACAAAGCAGGACACTGCAGATGACCAAATCTTGCTTTTAGTGTGCATCTCCCTTTTACTGAAGCCAGACCATATCTTACCCTGAAGTACAGCTTAATAAAACGGAGTGTATGTTTTTAGGAAGAGACCACAGTACATATAGCTCTGATGTTGAAAAATAACTCTGCTCTTGTGGAACTACATTTGTGCAAGCATGAAATGAAAAACTTTGGTGTAGAACGACTGTGTGAGGCGTTGTATGAAAACTCCAGCCTGAGATACCTTGATCTTAGCTGGTAAGAGTTATTCTGTGCCATAGCCCTGACTAACATTAGGCACTCATTTTCTTAGCACTCATTTAAAAAAAATGTGTGCATCTCTCTTTCAGTAATAAAGTAACCCGTGATGGTGTAAAATTTTTGGGAGAACTACTAAAACGCAACCAAACCCTGGAAATCCTAGATCTTAGTGCAAACCGAATAGAAGATGATGGAGCTCTCGACCTGAGTGAAGCCTTGGCTTTGTACAACAGGACTCTTCGAGCGTTAGTATTTACCTAACACTCCCAGAGATGCAGATGTAACGACTCAGAGTAGAAGCAGCTTGGACTTTGCAGGGGCTGAACTGACATCGGAACTGTGTGCTTTGATGTTACCAATCAGAATGGCAAAGTCAGGAAGTTCCAAACTTTTTAGTCTGTTTTTTTTTTTCTCAGGAAAAAAAAAAAAAGTGAATGATGGATTGGGTGGGATTGGGTGGGATTCCTTTGCTTAAGCATAGGGGTCTCCTGCCCTTGGAGATACCCCAAGGCCTGTGAGACATCCTAGGGCGCTGGCAGGCGGCCCACGAGTCCTTTCAGAGCCCTGCAGCTCGGAGAGCAGGCAGGTCAGACAGCACAGGAGGCCAGAGCTGGGGTAACTGCATTAAGTCCCCTGTAGCTTCACGTGAGCTAAAGGAGTAAAACACTAGGCCAAGAAATGCCATGCGGTCCCATGTGGTAATGCCTCATGTTCACCTTCCCATGCTGCCCGGCCTGCTCATAACTCATTTTCCTTGAACTTTGGGGTTTTTTTTTTTGTCTTCTATCCACTGCTGTGTGGCCTGACCTATGTTTGTTCTTCTATTTCAGGGTTTTTTTGGGGTTGACACTTAGATCAGTTTTGTAGTGGTTCATCTTACATGTGATTCGCAGCTTTTATGGTCATTCTTAGGAGGAGGAGGGAAGGCGATTCGATCTTAGAGCTCTTTTTGCATCTTTAAAGCGTACATCCCTGTGGCACACAAACGAAAACAAACCGAGAGCTGTACATCTCCAGAATTTTAAGATAATCAGATTCCATGCAGGGATAAGGCACAGTATTTGTTGGTTCTGATCTTCAACACTTAAGAAAATCCTCTGTTTGGGTTAGCTTCTGGGTGAACCCAAAAGAGCTGTAATCCCTCCACCAGGGTGTATTTTGTAGCCCGGATTAAACCGTGCGCCGGCAGGATGTAAAAGTGATCAAAGGTGCTACCTGAAACCATTAGACTTAAGTAGCAGGCTGAGGAGGTGGCGGCTGCTGGGTGCCTCTGAAAGCCTTCCAGGTTCTCTAACATAAAAATAACTGCCGCTCCACAAAGATCAAAGCTTAGCCTGGAGAAGTGCCAAGGCTTGGGCTTCAAAGCAGAGGAGAGATGAGACCTGGCCACCACGCAGTTAAGTCACTGACACCGACAAACTAAATAGTGAACAACCTGGCTGCATGAGCCATGGAAATGCCTTGAGAAATAGTCCAAGTCCGTCGTCCAAACTGCCTTTAGCAACCTGAAAAAGATTTTATAGTAGGACTGGACTTGATACAAATATTTACGTTATTAATAGCAAATATAAAATTTCAATATATGTATTAAATAATAAAAATAAAGAATAAATCATAGTTAAACTCTTAGTTTTAACTAAGAGATGGGGATTCAGTGGTTTGGCACGCATCTGCGTAACTATTTTCTCTGTTTATTAGGTTGTCAGTAGTAAGCAACAACATAAGTGGCAAAGGACTTGTAGCTCTTTCAGATGCAATGAAAACAAACACGGAACTTTCCTATATTTACATTTGGGGGAACAAATTTGATGAAGCCACCTGTATGGTAAGTGTTTGCTTCTGAACTCTTCTAAGAGGGTTGGGTTTCATTTGTTTGTTCTAATTTGTTTTTACAATTATCGGGAAGACTACAGCAATTTGTGAACAAGGTGCCTGATTTATTCTGGGATTTTTTTTAAATAATTATAGTATGGTGGTGCTGTGATGAGCCTCACCAGACGTCAGCATACTGAAATGATCAAGTACTCGCCTGTTGTGTGCTATCTTCTAGAGCTTTCACTGCAGTCAAAGTGGACTATTATACGTCAGATTCTTGTTCTTATTAATTTCAGGCATTTTCAGAATTAATTCAGACGGGCCGCTTGAAACCTCATTGCACAGATGTGGAACCGTATGACGTGGATGGGCACGTTCACCTTGCGGAGCTCTCCCACGGCCTCAGGAAGCATTACTACTGGACACCAAGTTGTGGGGAGGTGATGAACAAAGATGCTAATGCCAGCCTGGCAATTGCAGCGGTTTCAGAGTACTTGTGAGTGAGGTCGCGGCTGGATGCGCTCCAGATGGGGGAAGTTTTCCTATCATCTGCTTTCCAGTAAAATAGATTATACCAGTAGCAAGCTTGCTTCATGTTGTGTCTTCAGGGTCTTTAGTCTAGAAGGAATCTAAAAAGACTTGAAGTGGCATTAGAGGTAAAATACCAAACCAGTGACCTTAAAATTTGCTGCTAGAAATGCCCAAGCTATTCAAAGCCTATGAATGTGAAACATGTTCATTTTGCTGCAGTCATTTCTATTGCACGCTATCTCCTTCCCTTACTGTGACTAGCTGTAGTTCCAGGCTTCTCAGGTGATAGATGAATTTGGTGAAATAGGACGCTAAGAAGAAAAGATTTTCACCACAGCATAGCGCGCTGAGTGACACCAGGCGTTCCTAGCAGTAACGGGGAGGAGAACAGTTGCTGTGAAGGCATGCAACGAGACCACAGCAGCAGCACAGACGCGTGAACTGAACTCCTAGCAAGCTGAACTACACCACTCTGTTTAGGAGACCTTCTCAGAGCAGGATTTTTATCAAGTGCTGCTTCTTTCAAAAAGATGCCAGGGCTGGTTCAGGGCAGCAGCAGAGCCTATGGATAGAGTACCATGACCACAGGGTCCTCTTCCCCATGGCAGCCGCAGAGGAAGAGCAGTCGTTGCCCTTCTTGGGCTGTGGTCTCTGCAGTCAGGCCTCCATGCGTCAGGGAGAACCCACAGGTAATGTTCTTGCATCTCTGCAGGCTGGAGTAGAGCCAGGCCGATCAAACTGACAAAGTTCACACTCAGGACTGCCGCCGGGCAGCAGCTCTGCTTGACAGCACATCAGGTAACGCTGTAGAACAAGGTTGCTCTTGAAGCCAAGAGAGGTTTGGGTAAACCCTTTTGTTGCTACTGTGCTCTATATACTCCCTCCTTTTACTTGTTAATGGCGTGCTTTTTGATCTTCATCCAAGAGTGACTTTTTTTTTTAAACCAAGTTAAACAAACTTAAGCGTAAAGCCACTGTAATGCTAGAACATTAAAGCTAGTGAACCTAGCTTACTGGTGTATATATGGTATTTTGATTAACTTGCAGCACGTACTTGTTTCTTGTACTACAAATGAAAAACACCAAACTTGGTTTCATTATTTCTTCCTGTCTCTTGAAAACTTTAAAAAGATTTATAACATTAGAGCCATGTGGCAATTCCTACACGTGAATAAGACATCATATGCATACGACGGTGGTTAAAAATTGTTTAATGGTTTGGAATCAGACATCTTAGAAGTTTGGGAATCACTCAGCTTGTTTCCTTTGTACACCCACTCTGCTCGTACCTGTAGAAATGATCAGATTTACACTCCTAAATAGAGGAAGTCACCAAATAGGACAGCAGAGGTTTGCTCAAAGGCTTTTACTAGCACAATCTTGTGCATGTCTAAATGTGCCTGTTAAAAATAGAATAAGTAACAATAATCCTTGAACGTATGCGCACGTAGGCAAAAGACCTAAGAGATCTAGGTATGAGGGGAAAAAGATAAGTGTTATTGTTGAAATTACTTAAGAAGCAGAGATGCAACTGCTGATCTTCTGATTCTGTACCATCACAGTGGTAGCACAGAGACAGGGAGCTGCATGGATACCATTTACCGAGCTGAAATGACCGAAGTGGCACCGAGAGCTGTTGTAAGCATTGGGTTTTTTTTTTTTCCCTCTCCACAAATGAGATGGGCTTTGTTGGTCCAAAAAGCACTTGGTACCATAAAAGGACTTCGAGGTAAGCCCACAGAGCACGGCTGTTTGTTCACACAAGTTGGCATGGAGGTCTCTCTCTGCTCCCTCATCCGCCTTGCCTGCTAGAGACCACGTTTAAGACCTGACCAAGTTCTCTTCACCCGCCAGACCAGGAGTTCCCCCATGTTCCCTTCAGAGAATAGCTTAACAGATGCATCACCCAAAAGGTGAGGGCAGAGCAGGAGACCAGAAATGAATTCTCTTTGTGGCCTGCACAGGGACATCTTAACCTGCAGTCATCTTGTTAAGCACAAAGTCCATAAGTTGCACTGTGAAAACCCTAGAGAGGAGCTTGTGTTTTAACTATGGTTGCACAGAAAAACAGAGCCTTGAAAAAGTTGAGGATACACAGAACGTGATTGCTTGAAACAAATCTGCATGCTATTAGAATTCGATAGGCCCGTATTAGCAAAGTTGGTATTTTTCTGAGTGTTGCTGCTCTGGAGCATTGCAGGTTATACTATGATAGTCTAAAGAGAATACTCTCAGTACTGAGACATCGAATATAGAATTTCTTGCTAGAAAGACCACTACTACAGCCAGCGAAACATGAGCCAGCAGGGTGCCCAGGTGGCCAAGAGGGCCAGCGGCATCCTGGCTTGTATCAGGAGTGGTGTGGCCAGCAGGAGCAGGGCAGGGACCGTGCCCCTGTGCTGGGCACTGGGGGGGCCGCCCCTCGAATGCTGGGGTCAGGGTTGGGCCCCTCCCTCCCCGAAGGACCTGGGGGGTCGGGCTCTGTTCCCAGGTAACAGATGAGAAGAAATGGCCTCAAGTTGTGCCAGGGCAGGTTTAGGTTGGACATTAGGGAAAATTTCTTCACTGAAAGTAATCAAGCATTTGGAATGGGCTTCCCAGGGAGGTGGGAGTCACTATCCCTGGAGAATTTAAAAAAATGTATAGATGTGGCACTTTGGGACATGGTTACGAGTAGGCATGGGGGTGTTGGGTTGACGGTTGGACTTTATGATCTTGGAGATCTTTTCCAATTTTAATGATTCTATGATTCTACAATTCAGATTGAGGTATATTTTTTCCATATATCTTGCTTTCCCTTATCCTGTATATGGAGTTCAGGATAATTTCATTGCCCTAATTAAGTCTTAATTTACTTGTACGAAGAACATTCCTTAATCTGCTGTGGTAACAGGGAACCAAATCTACCAAGTCAATCCCAACTCTACCACCAGCAGTATTTCGTTTTTAGTAGATGTGGTAAGGTGGCAACACTATCATACACAAAATATAACAGAATAAATGGCATCTACTTTCAAAATTGCTAGCACATGCTTTTGAAATACTTTTACTCCAGCGGAACCCTTGTTTAACAGCAAGATGCTTGGCCCAAAAGAGCATGCTGCATTATAGACAGTATCCATAAAAATAGCTTGTGTTCTAGTTTGCTTTGATACTGCTTTGTAAGTACGAACAGCTTCCTGCAAACTAAAGTAATTATTTATGCAGAAACCTGTATTGCTTAGAGAGGCCTGCGCCAGAGACATTTATTGCTTTCCTTTTTCTGCAAACCACACCTTGAAATTCTTAAAAAGATGTTATCTCCTGTTCTTTGGAATGAGAATTTACATAGGCTAAAAAATTTTGCCACGGTCTTCTGAGTAAGGTATTCTCGTAGCAAAAGCAAGCGTCATCCTGGCTCTGTAAACCATTGTTTCAGCTTCCAGAACTCGCAGTACCTGGCTGAAATTCAGCATTTTTGCCCCAATTTAAAGGAAAGGAAAATGGCTGATCCTGCAGGCCAGTGGTACCACGCAGGTCCCCTAAGGCCTGCTGTGCACTCTAGCCACCATAGCACCTTCCATAAAATTAAACAACCTAGTAAAAACAAGTTAAGATGCAAATTCTGATAAAGAAATTCACTGAGTATCTGCTTTAGCATAAGAAGTACACCTTCAAAGCACTCTGTAAAGCGACAAAACCCTAAACCAGCCAAGCCTGCCCCAAAACCCCACCCCAACACCTCAAAACAAGTGGAAAAAACCCTAACCTAAGAGTCTTTATGCTAGATTGTATTTAGAATGAAGTTTTTGTTTCATTTAGTTTGGACAGACCCAAAATATCTTCTGTGAGAAAAAACCAGGTGTGTTTACTGCCGAGAAGAAAAGGCAGGGATCCTTGCTGTGTCAGTGTGCTGTGCAAAGGGCTCCCACACGTCCCTCTGATGGGGTGCTTTGGCGGTGCTTAGTCAGACTGCTGCCCTCCTCCTTTTGTTGCTACCCCTTGCAGTTACAAACAGGAGACACAAGGTGAGGGAAAATTACAAAACAAGTTTATTAAAGTCTAACATAAAACACTTCAGGCTAAATATGTACAACTCCCTTCCTTCCCAGGGGATTATAAAATTGAGAGTTGAGCTATATACAAATAACAGAGGAAAAATTGTATATACATGGAAGAGATTTTAAAAATAATTTAACCAAAAAAAAAAATCAGTTATTAGTTCTTATCTGAACTTAATTCTGCAAGGCTTATCAATAGCCTCTCCGAGATCACAGCCCTGAAATCCTTAACATGGGACTTGTCCGTACTTGAAAGTTTTTTTGGAACACATGATTTCAGAAAAGTCATCATGCTTTGTGCCCACGCTTGGGCACACATTGGGAAGTAAGTGTCATACCAGGAGCTATTCCCACACAAGTATTTCCCAACAGCCAATTCCGAAATTTCTAGACGCAAATAACCTATTCAGGCAAAACTTGCACTGACTTCCGTGCAAAATCGACTGAAATGGTACTGCAACAACGGCGTCACAAATAATAGTGTCATTTTCTCTCCATTACTGTTAGTGGAATTATTAAAATTCCCTCTTGCCTCAAGGTCTCAAGAAGGAGATGTCTGCCTAAACAGATGTCATGCTTTCCCACATCAGTCACGTACAGAAATTACCAATACTGTTACAAACTTTGTACCTCCAAAAAGGAACTCAGAATCCTTAAGCCTAGGAATTAGATGTGCAGCTGATTTCCATGCATCTATTGGCAAAAGGTGCGGTACAGACCTGCTTCTTCAGGTCCTACAGCACCCAGCCTGAACCCACCTACAATTTTTTTTTTCTTATATATATATATATATATTTAAAAATCTATATTCTAGTAAATGAATACAGTTCATAGAGATCATACCTCAGCAGCTGAGATATCTTCACGAAAGATGAGGATAAAAATCAAGACTCTCGGATGGGGACTCAAGAGTGCAGATCACTAAATTATTGCTCCAAGACAAAACTACAAGCCTGTTTATTCTATTAAGAAAGGTTAAAATTGTTGTCTTGTAAAAAATAATAATTATCTTCTTGTCTATAAAGAAAACTAAATGATTAATAAAGCAAGTGTTACTGTTATAAGTATCTAAACAAATCCTGTATAAATCTAAGCACTGTATTTTTTTTTAAAATTCTGAAATCTAAGAATACAGTAATAAGCTATAATTTTAGAAATATAAAAACAGTCCAAACAAACATTGTTATGGAATGCATTTTCTATGTAGGAATGTGACTTTTTAATATTTTTTTTTTTTCCAGAGCTAGTTCTCTCTCACGGTCATTTATCCTGGATACGTTAATCTTCAGGTACTTTTCCTCAGGTAACAGCAGCATATCATTAGTTTATCTTCCAAAGCTGTTTAAATATGAAATTTATCAATTGTACGGTATTGTTCTTTTTCAGTATTCATGACTAAGCCTATGTCTATCCCAAGACTTCTGCTCTATTTTCAGAGAGAGAAAGTAAAGAGAAACCCTAGGACAAGCTACACGGAGTTCGCTTTTTTTTTTTTTTTACACAGAGGCAAGATCCCAATCTTTGTGGTTCTTCAGTCTTAAACAGTGAGGCTAAGCAATCCTTCAGGGGCTACATCAACAACAGAAGATAAAAAAGAAAATGGGGGAGGAAAGGGAGAAATGCCAAACCAACAGGAAAAAAAAAATACAAACTGAGAACTTCACC